TATGATCTTTTTATTGATGTTTATTTATTAAACTTAAAGGATAAAACAAACCTCTCATACCAACATCTGAAATGAATAGTACAAGTATTTAATTATATTGCTCTGTTGATAATAAAGAGAGCTAAAAAAAAAAAAATACAAAGCTAAAGTATACTAGATAATTGGTCCAGATATTTAAATAAAAATCTAGCAATATTAGTAAACTCTAATTGGCATAATCAATACCTGGAAAAACCTGATCACCTACTTTGTTGACACCATCCAGAACATAATGGCAGTTACTGGGCAGAGATGAAATGGCTGTCTGAGGAGCAACTGGGCAATAGCGTTTTGTTATGCGTCTGTTATGCCAGATCTCCACCGGTTCTGTGATCCGGCTCGGCTGTCTGCCCCTTTGTCTTTAAACACACACCTGAATTTACAAAAGTGCCCAGAGCAGTAACATCTAACCATTAAAGTTATATAACCAAGGATTTCCACCTTAAATACAGAATCAATATATCCATGATGGGCTCTGAGTATTTCTGACGAATGAACCCGAGGCCTGTCTCTGCTCTCTATGGCTGCTTGTTGGTGTTGGTAAGTGAAACAGAATCTAGGGTCAACACAGAAATCTGCCCAGGTATTTGGTTGTTGTTTTGGTATCTGCCCTTTGCTCATTGGTGTGTTTGTCCAGCAAAAATAAAAAGCATGTGTATCTGCTGCAGAGGGCTCCAGATTGTTGGAGGTGAGGAGTGGTGTGGTGTGGAAGCAGACACATTGACTCAAGTGAAATGCTGTCTGCTTGCTGCTGTGACAGAGCAGAGATGGACTGAACATGGATCGAGTGGAATTTAGGGGTGAACTACTACATTTACCTGAAGCAGCGCAGGTGTGCTGACATAAATACTCCTGGAGAAGTCCTATTTGCTGCGGCTAAGCTAATGCTTCCTTCAGTATAAATTTCAGTTTGATGTGAGGAGTTTTTGGAAATGTTACTGTCTGTCAGATCAGAAGGGGCTACTTTAACCCTGGAAAATGACTAATTGTTAAAAGACCTTGTTTAAAGTGTGTAATTTTGTTGAAGCAGGATCATAAGTAAGATAGTGTATAGTGAGCGGGTGAATATGCAAACTACAACTGTTAAAAGATGAGCAACATCCTAATGGGAAGCAAAAGGGGACTTTGTCTCACTCTGTTGTGTTTCCAGTTGGCAGAGACACCCACTAACTTTTCATTATCCCTTACGCAGCCAAGCTTTAAGTATCCTAAATGAAGGTTAAGAGTCAGGTTTTACTTCCCTGTGTTTGGTATATTTACTGAAAGTACTGCTTTCCTCTCCTAAAAGGTTTTATATAAGTATCTGAATTTCCTTATGAAACAGAACAAACATGTCTCTCTCTGACAGCCATCCTGAGTATTGCCGCGCTCCATGCTGCCTCTTTCAATGGACCTCAGTCTTTTTCTAATTGTTTCATTTTTCTCTTCTCACAGTCGTTGCATCCAGCTGCTTCTGATTGCTAATTTACTTTAATTATCACAACTGTTGCAGTTGCACAGTTGGACAATGAAGTGCTGCACCCACAAAGGCTTGAATAACCTGCTGTTACCAACTCTGTTTGACAGAAATGCGGCTGTGGTGACTATGTTTATGGACTTCCATCAACAATAAAAAGATGTTTGAAGCCAGAGATAGATTGCTGTGCCATTCAAAGTTTTGAAATATTTGGCTCAGACAAATTACAAAAAAGGAAAGAGAAAATTCACAGTTTACAGAACCACTCAGAGATTTTCATCATAATTTTTGTTTCAGTCAATTTCAGCAAGCTTGAAACATTTTCTTTTAATGCCAGCTTGAGATAACACAGTTTGAGTAAAAATATAATTTTTGTGCTTTTATGAAGCTTGTATATCAATAAAATTTTGTGCTAATAGAAAGAAAGTAGTTTCAACAAAGGCTGCTCCCACATTTACAAATATCTCTTTTTCTGAACTGTCACAAGCCAGTCTTCTTTGTATTACAGATAACAAGGTGTTTAATACAGTCTGCAATCAGAGCAAATACAAATGTAGACATTTACAGAATGAAACTTCTCAGTGCATGCTTACATTACAAAGAAGGCTCTCTCCTGTTTGCACAGCCATGCCTGTAGTGGCTTCAGGCTCAAGAATGTACTGCATGAGGGCCACCAGTTTCAAAGTACAGTCAGTATACTGAGATGTTGTTCAAATTATCAATTTTGCTTAGTCCAGCTGGTATTAAAGGGATACTCCGGCGTAAAATTAATTTAGGGTCAAACAAACCGTAACACTGAGTTAGACACCCCCTTGAGAGATGAATGTTGCCGACCTCTTGCTTCTCTAGTTATACCAACTTTAGTAACAAATGCACAATAGCAATACACAGCAGTCTAAGGAGTGATAAACAAACCTCAACCAAAATGCCACTCTATAGCCACAAATAATGTTCAGAACAGCACCTAACTTCATCAACAGTACATATAGGGTCCCAGCCATAGCACTAGCCACCAAACATCTTTTTAACTCTGCCTAACTTCTTTAGCAAAGAGACTAAACACAACTCACTTACTCTCTTCCAGCAACCGCTTGTTTGTAGTGAGACCTCAGGCCAATCCATTACGGACTACAGTGGCGTGACGCAGCTCAAGGAAGAATATTTATGATCATTTCTTCATGGAAATGGAATCAGACAGAGACGCGGCAGAAGAACTACCGTGTCTGCAGTGGGAAATGATTAATATATTTCTAGGAAATGATAAAAAAAAAAAAAAAACGATCATAAATGTTCTTCCTTGAGCGTACTGACTGTACTTTAAAACTGGTGGCCCTTCTGTAGGAAGAATAACAGAATTGACACTTTATTGGCAACGAGAACATGTCCAGTATGAGCCTCATTCATTGAAAGCAAAGATGAAATCCCTGAGCATACCCCCAGAGCCAATTGTTCACTTCAGCTTCAGTATTCACCCTGAAAAATTGGGGATTTCATCCCCTGCAAATTTAAAGCATTTGTACATTGAAAGGGTAATGTTAGTATTTGTGTTTTAGATAACTGTAGTTTGATTTAAACACACAGTGGATTACTCAGTCTGACCTTTTAACTACGGTCCATTTGTCGGCTGATTTGATGGCCAATAACCAAATCGTTTGAGCATGACTCAGCTGTTTATGTCTGACAGTTGCAATCCATTGTTTTTCTACACAGCTGCTCCTTTAACACCTCATTATTATGTCTGGATAATCACTTCCCGTGACCCAGAACGTGTCTGTTAACACTGGAGTGTTATTGCTGGTGGTTTTTTTTCACTATTTGTTTTGATTTGTTTTGATCACTTGTGTTCTGGAGGTAGGTAAATACATTTGTCACTCTTTTGCTATATTTATTTAAATGTTTTGGGTTACTCTGAAGGTTTAATTTGGTGTTATTTACAAGGAATGGTGGCTAAAACCATTGAAGTAGAATGTAATGAAAGGGGTCAAAAGAAATCTGAATTCAGGGTTTTTAATACTTATCTCTAAATGGGGAAAAAACGTCAATATTCAAGTAAATTGGCCAACATATCCCTTTTGACAGTTTTCTGCTACTTGAGTTTATTATATTCTGTAATTAGGCAAAAAATTCAGACTGAAGCTGTTGGCAACGAGTGTATTGAAGATTGAAGATAGTAATTTAAGTGAAAGGAAAGAGAAAACATGCAGAGTAGCTCAGATAATTAAAAGCAAGAATTAGCTTTTCAGTGTGCCACATTTCATATGTATTTTTTTTATTATTTTCTCGGTAGCTTTCTTTTTGTTGTCCAGCCACCTGTCTGTGTCTGTTTAGAAAATCACTCAAATCATTAAGAGTTTTTTTGTGTGTATGTAGATGAGAAGAGAATGTGAGTTAAGTGAAATTTTAATGATGCAGGCGTTTCCAAGCTGTCAGATCTTCAAACAGTCATTTCTGGTTCTGTCAACACTCAAATCCTTGAAGGCAGGCTGGTAACAAGCAGAGAAGTCAAAGTCAAAATAAGTGATAAATGGCTGTATGATAGCAGTGGTGTTTGCTTATCTCCACTAGCCAGCCGAGCCTTTTTATCACTCTTTTTTAATTGCCTTGGTAGCCGTACAAAACCCAGTGAAACATAAACAAGTTTAAAGTGGTGCTCCACCTAGAATCCATCTTCTGAGTATCAAACACTCATCCCCCCTTAAGCTCTCTGTATGGCTGTAAAAGCAAGACATTTTCTGCGGTATAGTCCATCTCACTGCTGTCCATCCATATATTCAGTCTGATCCTGTTTTTATAAAATTAGATGAAATTATGTCTGTCTTAATCACCACAAGAGACCTTTTCAAGCTCACATGAGAGTATCGGATTATTCTTCATCATCCTAGTTTACTGAGTGCAAGCACGATTGAGAATGGCAAAGTAAAAAGGTGGATTTTTGACATTGTGCAATTCCTAAGACTACAATTGTAAGGAAAAGTAATGTTGTCTCTGTTAAACTTAAAGAGTAGTCCAATCTTTCAGGTGTAGCCAGTAGAGAAAAATAAACAGCTTCAGGTGAGGCTTCCCTTTTCTGTGATTTTTGATCATCTTGATGTTATCGAGAAGAAGTCAGCACAGCTTGTGGCACTGACCTTATTGATCTGTGGTTGTATGGAGGGACTGGCTGGGATGACAAGACACTCAGAAAGATTTACTCACTTAACACTCTGTTCATGTGTCATATACCGGCTGCAGGAGTGTCTAAATACATGGATTTATGCAAGACAGGAGGGGTTTCTTTACCTTATGAGGATTTGCTGTGTTTTAACACTTCACCAAATAATCTGACCTCCTCTCTATCTCTAACTTTTCTTCCAGCAAGCTCTTTTTTATCCCTGTCTTCGTATTAAAAACAAGCTGTATTCTGTGGCTCAGGTAGTCGCATATATGATCATAATCAGCTTGTCCTCCATTTTCCTGATAAATGAACCTTCGCCATCTGTTGTTGACGCACATTATCAGTAAGTTTCTTTGCTGATTGGCTATTGCTGCTTAAGCTAGTAACACATGGAGCGTGTTGCAAATTTGCATCATTCATGGGTATAATTCACTCAGTTCATGCTAGTGACACTGACTTATTTGCCTTTTCTGCATCACACAGCAAGAACACCTGCCTAATTACATCTTTACAGTGACTTTACATGTTATTCACCTGTTGCAGGTGATTTTATCAACATTTGGTATGCACTAAACATTAGGGTCAAACATCTCATCTTTGGTAACAATATGTTTGTTTTATTCATTTCAAATCAAGGCTACTTGATTATATACTTGATTGCAAAAGTCTGTGGTAGTAGAAACAAATTGATCCATGGTCGAGCAAGTGCAAGTTGTTGAAATATTCCTGGTCATGTTGTGCTTAGGGTGGCATTCCCTTCATCCACAATATAAACCCACACAAAAGGCACAGTTAGCTTAGCTTAGCATAAAAGAAGGAAGAGATATCCAGGTTACAAAATTAAATGCTGGTATTTGTAGCTTCTGTTTGAAACTCTGTTATTGCTAAGGTTTTGTTGAGGTTTTGTTACGGTTCCTATCTCGTCCCTCTATCGCTCTTGTCTGGTACAGACAGGTCAAGTATTTAAAGGCCAATTCTGATTGTTTTTAAAAAAAATTTATTGTTTGTTTTTGGTTTATTTTTTCTACTTAAAGTGTTCTCAGTGGTCTTTAAATTGTGATTATGAAATTTTTAGCCAAAATCACATTACCTGTGTCATTTTCAGGGGCTTTTCTTCTGCAGAGCTCCAGACACTAGTAGGCCTTTGGGGGCATAATGAAGGCTAATATGATAATTAGCTAAGAGCATTCCAATCTACTACTGCACACAGATGCTCCGCCATCTTCCTCTTTACTTTTTAGGGTGTGGCCTGCAGAGCAAGGAGCCAAGGGCGGAGCATAGTGTTGTGACATAGAAAATCCTACTGTGTCTGAACTTGCTGTTTGGGTCTGCTCGAGGTTCACTGTAATTTGGATGCAGGAACACTCAGAAATGCAATTTTGAATACTAAGTTTTCTTATGATATATCCTGTAGCATCAGAAAAATGCCACATGAACATATAAACAACAAGAAAAATATGATTTTTTTCTGTGGGTCTTTAAAATATGCACATCCAGTAGCTATATATCTGTGGGATATATAAATGGTGGTTATTTAGAGCTGAGGTTATTTTCTTACCAAATGACACATCAGCTGTTGGAGCATTAAAAAACAATTTTAGAAAGTTAGTTTTCTTCCAGATGGTGTAGTTTGCTTTTGGAGCTCAAATAGAGGCATCCATGTTATTAATTTCAGTCATTCAGTCGTCTCAGTAAAAGTGAAAAACAAAAGGGCTACTTGAGCAGCATATTTTGTGAGTCAGTGTTGTCATGGGACACTGGGATGCTCGAGGTCGAGGACAGCTGTGCGATATCCCCGGCTTTCAGGTAGCAAAAGATCATGATAAATGAAAGTGTTGTGAGAAATTAAATCAGCAGGCTAAAGGTCCCTCTAGGCCAGCAGTATCCCTCCATCTCTCAATTCTGTACGCTCCTACCATCTCTAATAAAAGTATAATATCCCCAAACTGAACACATTTTCAGGGCATCCCGGCAAATACCAGCTCAAATTGAACAAAATTAGAAAGGGTGGTTGTGCCAGTTTGCTTGATGGGATTCTGTACCCCAATAGAGGTGTAACAGCCGGCTTGAAATGGATAAACGAGTTGACACAGAGAGGTTGAAGTAAGTGACCTTGAGTTAATACACCCGCAGCAACCAGGAGCAGACTGCAAAAGCACTGCAAGTCACTGATAATACATGGTTGATTTTGCTTTATCAGAGGCCAACAATGCTGTTTTTTTTAACCTCACATTACTGTAGAAGCCATGACTACACATGAATTATGTGAACACTCTTAGTGATACAGTGACAGTTTTGACAACTGCTTCACTCTACCTCACTGCAGATTATATCATCTCTGTCTCTATGTTATCAAACTGAGACGGTGCCGATGGTTAAAAGGCACAAGATGCTTTTATTGCAGGTGTTTCATAAAGCAAATGTAAAACCCTAATAGGTTTAGTCACTGATGTATGGTGTGTATAAATCTCGGAGAGAAAACAGCAGTGTGGCAATCTATTTGCATAATAGCCTCCTGGATTATGTCGTAGTTTAAAATTTACAAACTACATTATGTCTGACAGAGCTGCCTGTAAGGATTCTCTTGATTTATGACAAAAAGTAAGCAGAAGCGCCCTTTTTATTGTATTCCTTACATTTTTCTGACTGAAAAACCAACATCTAACGCGAGTGTTTGACCTTAAAACTAGACAAACTGAGGGATTGTGCTCAGAGTGACAGACAGGGCACCCCTGCAGCTGAGTTAGTGAAAATTTAAGATTTGAATAGGGTCATGTTAGATTCATGATTTTTTTACCTGCAAGGCTTGAAAGTAATCTGTTCTTCTACCTGACAATTTCAGCTCATTTTTCAGACACCACCAGGGCCCAAAAAACAAACTAGAAGGAGGTTCTTTATGGTGAGTGTTGTTTTGCTATTTCCCATATAATTTAGGCTATTATATAAAAAGAAATACTATTGGAGCAATGACAGTTTTCTGTTGAATAACAAAACCTCGATCTACAGTGTCTGGATAAAAATTTGGTATCTGCTAACTTTGGTAGTCTTAATGTTTTGGCCTTGACTTGGGGGGCGGTTATGGCTCAGTGGTAGAGTTGTTCATCTCTCAATTGGTTGGGGGTTCAATACAAGGTCCTGCTGTCCCACGTGCCGAAATGTCCACTACCCCCGCTGGCTGTGCCCAGAGGAGAATAGGATTACTGATGACTGGTCTGCACAGTAGCCTCTGCTGTCAGTGTAGGAATGTGAATGAGACATCTAGTGAGAAAAGAGCTTTGAATGAGGCTGATGTTGGGAGTTTAGCATGATCAAGTATAATTACGGGTGGGGCTAATTCGATTGACAACAGTTGTGCCAAAGATGTTTACCAATCTGGCCAGCCTCAGCTCCACAGCTTAGATTTTCTAGGTGGACTCCATTGTTCACCTTCACAACATCACATCAGAAATCAGTGGGACACTACCTACACTACCTGGCTACGCAAGCCAGGCTCGAAGAAATAAGAGAGAACAATCGTGGAACAAGCATGTGCGTTAGCGGAGTGCAATGCTTGTAACACAGCTAATTTTGATATTAGCTTTCATCATGCCCCCAAAGACTTTAGTGTCCAAGAGCTGAATAGCCCTTATGTTACCTGCTGATTCTACTACACTGTCAATGTTAGGCTGCAAGCTAGTGCAAAGAAAGGTGTGCAGAGCAGCGCTGTCACCGTCCACGACTCAGAGGCGAATTGCTAATGAGCTACTAGAGCTCTGCAGAAGAAAAGCCCTTGAAAATGACACAGGTGACGTGATTTTGGCTAAAAACTAAATATTCAGAGTTTAAAGACCACTGAGAACGCTGAAAGAAGTTAAAAAAAAAACAACGGGAGTGGGACATTAAGTTGAGAGTCAGTCTGTAAACGGTAACAGTACATGGAAGAACCCTGGCCATTTACAACGCTATGATACCAAACAAGAGTTTAAGTTTAGGATTAAGAAATTGTTAACAATGCATGAATTTTTAAGAGTCAATCAGCTACTCATGTTTTTTTGGTTTTTTTCCTCCAGGGCGTTCTACTGGTAAAACAGGCCATAACATTATAAGAGATGAAATCTTGTGTGCTCTGCTTTTGTTTTCTCCCATAACAGACTGTTTTTGTGCCTCGGTATAATCATTGAGTCCAGCTATTTGACACAGTTTACTCTCAGTCTAATTGTATCCCAAAGATACAGTTTAGCATGTTTGTGTCCTATTTACTCAGGTCTAAACAAACTATTCTTACAATGTTACAATGGACTATATCATAGTTTTAGGTATTAAAACTGTGAAGTGTTTTTGGCTAGAAGCTCATGCTGACATTTTTTTTTTTGTAGGACTTGAGATGAAAAGAAGACCCCTCAGCCAAAAATGTAATTACTTCACAGTGCACGGCGAAACTCTCTTAAAGAATCAATTATAGCAAAAATGAGGATGAAATGAAGGTTCAAGTACTTACATGATATGGTTGGTTTTATAGTGCCTTTAAGATAGACATAAGAAGATTACAATCCATTTTTTAACTGGGGATGTCATCTTCATGAATAATAATCCCACAGGAAAGAAATGGCCACAGAGCTCAAAAATACATGATGATGTGTTATATTACCTCAGCCTAACCGTGCGCCTGCCATGCCACATTAAAGGAGAGCAAGGGGGAAAACGAGGGAAAGGCTCATTATTTATCACGATGTGAAAGATACTCTAAGACAATAAAGCGAATGCTTATGGTGGGGTGGTGGAGAAGAGTTTGAAGTTATCAGTGTGGGAATCATTCCTGCTGGGCTACAAACTTGAAAAAAATGTTTCAGGGGTAACGTGAGTGACGTGATTAATGAGTAAGAACTGAAAATCATGGAGCTCTGTGAATGCAAATGGATGTTCTTTCAGAACAATCAATGCTCATTTTCACTCTCGCTGAGTGAAAAAGCTGGAAAGCCTGGCGGTGCAAAAATAATTTTATCTTGAGTAAAGCAAAGCAGATAAAACATGCTCTTTTACGGTGTTTTAACAGGATTTGGAAGTGATGGTCAGGGGGTTTAGTTTGATTGTGAAACTACATCCTGAGAGTAGTTATTGAAAGGTTTTTGTAGATTTCACTTCTGTTAAGTAAGAAAGTAGAAAGCTCTGTTTTGGGCCAAATTCAGATTACGAGCTTTATGCCGACACAAACAACAGTCACTCAGTATAGACTGTATATTGAATGGACAACGTAACTCCGCCTCCTGTCACTGTGTCAAGTTGAAGCCAAAATACCACTGGTATTTTGGGGATTTTCATTTCCTGAAACCAACATTTGCGCAGTGGCATTCGAAATATTTTGGCAACTTTTTCATTGTATGCTAGCAGGGAAAGAGTTAAGTTTGTTAAGGAATAGAGATAATACCTGAGTACAAAAGTTTGAAGAATGAAAAGTTGCAAATTCAAGCACTTGGTATAACCTTAATACTAATAATACATAGATGTAAAGAGGACATTTAGACTAAAATTTGTAACTTTTAATTGATGAAAAGAGGATTTAAGTGTTTGGGTGCTTTTGTTGACCAGCACAAGACTCAAGACTAAAAATAACTACTTTGACCACTCTAACCAAAGTCCTGAGATACTCAATCAGACTAGTTCAATCAATTTCTCTGTGTCTAACATTGCCATAGAGCACTTTAACTGGGGGTCAAATTATTCAAGAGTGTCGTGTGTTTAGGACACCCTGCTTATCAAAGCAGGGTTAGACAAAGCTGTGGGGTTTGAAGTTTTGGGGTATTCCTGCCGTCCAAATCTGAGCCTTCTGTTTCAGAAAGACACTCATTTGCATTCATGGAAATCCTGTAACGTCACACCAATACTACTCCTAATACTACTAATAATTATATATATATCGAGAGAGAGATGGGGAAGAGAGTTTACATAAATATTCTCAAGCACCTAAACTCCCTGTTACTTTCTCAATTATTAGCTCTTGAAATCTCACTGAGCAATATGATTTGAAGTACACACCACCAACAACAACATTGAACAGCCTTGAGACAGTGTTGCCTCTCTTTTAAGTTCAAAATTCCCATGCATAAAGTTTCGGGTTGCAGCTTCAAAGCCGAACTTATTTTGGTCTTATCAACAGGGTCCCTCAAACCGGTGCATTAATTGGCATGCTGGGACACCCTGCCAACACAATTTAAGCTCTCACCCTCTCACAAGCTGTGCCAAACTGATCCATGCTTGAGTAATTGTATAAAAAGATAAAAAGTGCACCTGAGTGTATTTAGCCCAGTATGAGTTGCTTGTGTTTTCACTCCCCTTCTACATTTTATTGTTTTTACACTTTTCCGCTCAAAGCAGATGCTGCACTGCTGGTGTTTACCTGAAGTCATGTCATGTCCTCCATCTGTTCAGAAAATTAAATGTTAAGTACTATATTTACTGACGGGTTTCTAAAGTTATAACCTTGTGACTGTGCGTGTCTTTGTGTAAAGGAGAAGCTGTTATCTCTTCACCAAACCTCCTTTCAAAACCATGTTTACTTATTCACTTTATACTTTTAATTCCAGGAACTCTACAAATCAATTGTGAGTATTTGAGTCACATTTCCTGATATAAGATAGATGATAGCTGCCCTGAAAGTTTAATTAAAGTCAACTCATATGAGGGAGATTAGGAGGGAGATTTGCTTTGATAGCACTGAACTGCAAAAAGAAACGGCAGAGTAAAAAGTGAGGTCACTGGAGTTGAAGTAATGGATGGGCATGTTCAGCTCCCCTGCTCTGTGATGCTTTGAGCGACCTGACATTTTCCTCTGAGAGCAAAGTTTTATACTTGAACATGGAAGGAGAAACCTCGTCTTACTTTGGCTGAGGTTCTGGTTACATAGAGAGAATTTTTGCAACCTCAAAAAAATTCAGCTGGTGAGAAAGACTTCTGACTGGCACATGGCTATTTGCTGTTTGAGATGACAGTTGTGACATTTTGCTATCTTTGGGGTCATGGCAAACTCTTACAGATAGCACCACAGATCCTGAATGATACACTGCTGCCCCTCAGGTGGGCATGTTTCCATCATGGCATGATACACAAGAATATCTTAAACTAAAGCCATGCATGCACATTAATAATGTGTCAAGAAAATGAAGACTAAGTTGATCAAAATGACAACATGGTCAACCCATCAGAGACAAATCGCGAGTAAGTTAGGCAAACTTGCCTAGCTTAGCGTATGGATTCAAATGCAAGCAATATATGAACCCAAATGTGAATTTTATAAACAAAAAACAATTTTACTGCCAACACATTTTTTTAGCATCCAAAAGTGTTGTAGCTGTATTCTTTTATTAAATACTGTCTCCTATTTATCTGAAAGCTGGTTATGCATCTGTGCTAGACTGGTGTATGTTTTGATGGACAGCAAATTATAAAGAAGCTGAAAGATTTGGAGCGGAAAGATGTGAGAAAGCTGTCATAAAGAATAGCCAATAGGCTTGTAATCAAAGAGGCCCTTTTATGTTGCTGCATTTGAGCGGCCTTCAAATAAAAGTAAGATAGACAGCCACGCTCTCCATCAAGCCAAAACTTGATGAATTATTTTACATGCAGCCTCTCCTCTGTAGATTTTCAAATAATGCATGGGTTGTTTGTCTTCAGCCTGGGCGGCCAAATGTTGGGAGGGTGGCAGTGATGAGAGCAAATGTGTGATATGTGTGTAATCAAACATGGGTCGTGTAAATATGGAGAGAAACCCCCTGAGAACAAATAACATGACATGATGGAGGAGGCTAGACTTTGCACATATGGTTGTATTTATCAGAGTTACAGTAACTGGAGACCACAGATGTCACCTATACAGTATCTTATACGTGCCAGTTATGTGCTGGCCAACAACACTTAAGAAATATCACAGTAAATTTGCATTGTTCAAGAAAAGACTCTTTTGATTCAGGGTGTATAGGCATTTAATACAATTTTTATAAAACGTCCCCTTTGTAAAGTAAAAAGCCCAAATACAAGATACTTCTAACCCTCTTGCTATTTCTGCATTTGTCTGAGTTTCTGTTTGAAATAAGCTCTTTTAATCAAAGTAAGTCATGTTTTTGCACTTTTAAATCTGTGATTATTCAACAAGCACACTATTCAAAAGCCCATTTCACACTATTTCCAGCTTAAGCATGGAGACAAACATTGATACATTTAAGAGGTTAGAAATAAGACACTTTTAAAGGGGCTGCATGGATTTTGGTCACAAAAATACAGAGGAGATAATGGCAAATGAAAGGAATCAAGAAATTCAGGATCTATTTTCAGCTCAAAGTAAAACACCTCGAACCTTCATAATGATAAACAGTGATTTAAAGCTGTAGGTGTATTCATACTACAAGTAATTTTTTTCAGCATCAAGATAAGAAACATTATTAAAGCAATTTTCACTTTAGTTAGAAACCTCTGTCATATATATATATATAAATATGTAGTCATATATATATATATATATATATATATATATATATATATATGTAGTATATATATATATATATATGACTACATATATATATGTAGTATATATATATATATATATATATATATATATACATATATACAGTACGTCTCACAAATTACTCTTACATATTTCCCTTGCAAGTCTGAATCAGGTTACAGACAGTCTACTATAAATAAAAAATTACAATCGTGCTCTTGTCCACCACTTGTCAAGATTTAATAGCATCGGGCTTCCCTGCGGCACTGTGCCTTTGATTTTCATTGAGTAAGGCTAATTTAATTAATACCTATAACATGGCTTGGCCCTTAAGGGGTGATTAATGTTAAGAGGCAGGGGAATTTTATAGAAATTAATCAAAATCTGTTGAGAGAAGGTCAGAATAAGGATGACACGATATTTTGTTTATTGATTTTTTCTACCTTAAAAACTCAGGAGATCCAATCGTTTGTCCTCTAGAGTTTTCATGGAGATGAAACTGAACTCTAAGTGTGATGCCTCTGAAATATTGCATGGATTGCTGTTAAACTCAGTCACGATTTTTACCAACAGCCAAGATAAACTCAATCAATATAGCACCAATTCACAACAAGTGTTAGCTCTAATCTGAGATGCTGGTCTAGAGTCTATAATATTATCAGGAAGACACAATTAACCTGATCAGACTAACCGTGGTTGGCATGAAGCTGGACTCTCTGGTGATGGTGGCAGAGAAGAGGACTATGGAAAAACTACCAGACATTATGGACGATGGCAGTCACCCTCTGCACATTGATATCATTAACCAGAGGAGTAATAGTAGAAAGAAAGCAAGAAAAAAGGAGAGAAAGAAGGAAGGAAGGAAGGAAGGAAGGAAGGAAAGAAAGAAAGAAAAAAAGAAAGAAAGAAATGTCCATAGCTTTATATCTTGCTTTTTCTATGTAAATACTTCATTTATCTGAAGTTTTATTATATCTTTATGTATATTGCTTTTTATTTCTTACTTATTTGATCATTCATTTTTTTCATTCCTGACACTTAAACTGCAGGAATTTTAATTTCCTTGAGGGAACCTTCCCAAAAGGATCAATAAAGTCTATCTAATCTAATATAATATAATATAGACTGGATAAGATTAAGTTCCATCTCGTGAGATCAGACCCACTCCCATTCCATCTTCATCTGCATGAGTGTAACACTTAATACGTTAAAGTGGCATAAAAAAAAACTTACTTTAACAGGCAGAAACCCTGAGCAGACTCATGCATGAGGTTTAAAGGGAGGATAGAGGTAGAGCCAAACAACAATAATAGCAACAATAGTACAAACTAATGTTTGGCCTCAATGCCAGAAATAAACTGTGATATGTGTGATGATGCTCTATCCTGTTTTGTGTTCATGGGAATTTTGGCATTTTCAATACACCCATTATAAACACTTCAAGTCAAATACCTGCAAAATTGAAAAAAATATATATATATAAAAAGAAGAAAATTGTTCTTAGATATTCTTTGACATTTGCTGATCAAATACAGATATTTGCTATTTTTATTGTGTGCATGTTGAAAGGAATAATAACAAATAGAGTACTTTTCTATTTTTCTGCCATACAAAGATATTGAACTACAAGTCCAGCTTTTATTCAAGCTAAACTATAATCTTCTGCTATTGAGAGATTGAATTGAGAAACAAGTTTATAGAATCCCAAAGGGGGAAATACCCGTAAAGAAAGCTTCAGAGAACCTAAGATGGGCACTTAAGTTATTAGAGTTGCTGGTTTTTGTGCTTTGACATGGACCTATTGGCACCACAAGCATCTAGAGACAGTCTGTCTGTACGGTCAGCATCTCACTAGAGCCAAACTCACCACTAGTAACCACAGCTTTGACAGGTTTCCCAGAATTCACCAAAAAGAAGGAAAAATTACAACTCTCCTTTTCCCTAGTATCTCTGGCTGGCCCATTTCCCCACCGAGGGAGAATTTGTCACAGGTGATTACCTTCCTGACAGTGTTATCAGGCATTACTCCACCCAGAAGCCTCTTCTGATCCAAATATTCAAAATCCATTTCTCATACACAGATCGCATGCTGGCACATTTCTAGCACAATGAGTGATTTCTCCTTCTCCAGAGAGGCTCGAGGAAGGAGGGAGGGCGAGCAAAGGGCTGTACTGTATGTAGGCTTAACTCCACTGAGACAGAGTTCTGCTAATCATCCGTGATCACAGACAAAGCGTCAACATGCAGCGGAGAAAAACCCTCTAAAAACAACCTCCCCGAGTAGACTGTAGCCTCCTGTTGTATAGTTCTTCTTCTTGTTACATTTTCCATTCACT